AATACTTACATGTCGTGATAAGATGCAGTGTTTTTCTGCCCTCTGAAAAACCAAAAGAAAACATCCCCAAAAAGAAACGAAACTAAACAAACAACATCCCAAAATAAATCCGCACCCAATACATCTGGTGCGGAATCTAGATGTCAAGAACTGGTTTTGGTCTTGGCACTGTGCATGCGCTTGCAGGCCACGATTGTGCTGAAAGTGCTGGACCTTGTATCGCGCGAAAGATGAGGATAGCAACGGCCTTGCAGCCACGCCTTTCACAAGAGTTGGGGGTTTCGTATCCGCAGCCAAGCGTGTTCTCAGTTGATCACGATGATGATGATGATGATGATGATGATGATGATGATGATGATGATGATGATGATGGTGGTGGTGGTGGTGGTGGTGGTGGTGGCGAGGATGAGGACGAATACGAGGATGAGGACGAGGATGAGGATGATGATGATGATGATGATGACGACGACGACGACGCTGCTGCTGCTGCTGGTGGTGGTGGTGGTGAGGATGGTGGTGGTGATGAGGATGAGGATGAGGATGAGGACGAGTACGAGGATGAGGACGAGGATGAGGAGGAGGAGGAGGAGGGGGAGACAGACGACGGCGACGATGTTTGCGCAACACGAGCCAGCTTTGCCGCATCAGCCCACCACATACCCAACCTGTAATGCACCACGAAGCATATTTTTGTGTTCCTCGCACATCACGTGTTGATGCCCGCACCAAGCCCCCCTTTCCCTCTTCCCCAGCCCCAGCCCAGTCACCCCTTAGCCGCTGAGCAGCAGCTCCAGCGACCCTCCCACGCCAAAAAGCAAGCCTGCCGCCGTTCTCTGGAGTCGCAGATGATCCCACCCACTCTCCATGCACTGTTGAAGGATCACCGGATCACTCGCGACACCGCGTTGGCTTGAGATTCCAGGATGGGCCCATTTGTTAGGGGGATCGCGGTACGGTCACACGGGCTGGCGGGTTGTGGGTGGCGTGAGCCTGGTGGGTGCAGTTGGTAGGTATGGGGGGGTGGGGTGGGGTGGGGTGGGGTGGGGTGGGGTGGGTGGGGTGGGGTGGGGGTGGGGTGGGTGGGTGGGTGGGTGGCCAGCCAATGAGTCCCGGCAACGGTCAAAATTCTCAGCTTGGAGTTTAGCACCAGAAAGTGAATATTTGGAGCTTGTACGATCATGGCAACCAGCGTGCAGGACTGTGGAGCAGAGGGAAGAAACTCTTCGCAGAAGGACCAGAGCTGTTTTCTCAAGTGGGGTGCGCTTGCCGCTTGCCGCTTGCTGGAGGATCAATGAGCTCGAAGCATTGCTGCGGTCGAGAGGCTCAGTGAATCCACGAGTGGACAAACTTTTGCATGCGTGCAGGTGGCATGGGGACAGTGCGCAATACGCGAGAGCAGGACCGAGTTAAGGGGGAGGAGAGTTGCGAGCACCGCAAGGCTCGCTTTGTGCTGAGGACTCGAGGGACTTAAATCCCAAGACCTCGGTGAAGCAACGGCAACTACTTCAAGGCAAGTCCCTGACAGATGCACTCCAGGCCGGGTGTCGGTCAAGAAACCAAACCTGGATCGCGGAGTTCGAATAGCCTAGGATACAAAAGCTGTGATTTTGATGACGGTGTCCCATTTAACTTCGTTCATCCAGGGAATGACCCGGCAGACAATCTATCTATGAGGTTCAGCCAAGAAAAGGGTTCTCATGATTGAGAGGGGACCTAAACCCTAAACCCCAGTTTTCCGAGTTTCCTTTGTGTATCTTTTCCTTTCAGATCACTTTAGAAGGGGTTCCCATGACTAAGAGAGAACCCAGATCGCTTTTTTGGGGTCGATTTCCCCCCCCCCCCCAAAACGGACGTGGTCGTTGCCGTCGAAGATTCAGGTGCCGGACGTGCAGCTCCAGGACTTCCTGCAGACGGAGCCCTTGTTCCAGGCGGACCTTGGCATGACGCTGGGCGAGGTGCGGGCGGCGCTTCTGCAGCCCGCCTTCCTGGAGCGAGTCTTCAAGGCGGATGTGGGGGCATTCGATATGGTGGCTTCGGACTGGGAAATGGCGCATCACCAGCTGCTCGGCTGCAAGGAGCGATCGAGTCGGAGATTGATGAAGCTCGTAGTAGTCTTGCAAGTGCCGGCGAATTGCTGGAAGTTGAGGCCGCATCGAATTCGTGGCTTCAAGTACAAAGCACCAATGCCAACGGACATTCCTGCGGCGGTCCGGTCCGTCCTGACGCTGCCGCCGCACGGGTCCTGCAGAGCTTTTTGCCGACTCAAAGCGAATGAAAATGAAGTCAGCAACTGAGAGCTGTGCCCAAAATGGTGTGTGTGTCTTTTTTAGGGGACCCCTAAAATGGATCGGTTTTCCTCCTGGTGTCGCTTTAAAACCATCAAAACGGGGGTACCCTCCAAAAAGACACACCCAGACGGTTGCGGGTGCAGGTCATGGTCACGCAGGCCATGCGGATCACATAGCCAGTCTCTTTCTGAGGTCATGATGACACTTCAGTTCATCACGGAAGGGGTACCCTTAGGTGATTCTATCCGTTTGCAGGCTGGGATCCTAGTGTCGTGCGAGGAGCAGTTGACACAGAGAATTCCAGCAGTAGATTTGGAAGTTGGTATATGACACACTCACTCAAGACTAGTGGCAGAGCTGATTGGCAAGAAACAGCCGACTAATCTTTTGGTGTCTCAAGACACCAGGTGACCGATGCATTTCTTCCATTGAAGCGAGGACGAGGCTCGCGGCATTGACGCGCTTGTTGCATTGTGTTTACATGGGTGTGGGTCAACATAAAAACACCAGGGACCCCATGTTTTAATCCTGGGTTTCATTTACTCAGGGTTCCATTTTGGGTACCCATTTTTGACCCACAGCCACATTCCTTCAAAGTTGAAAGTCTTGCGGCTGGAGATTGCCGCTCTCCATTCCAAAGCGACCTCGCTGGTACTTCAACTTGAAGTCAGGCCTCAACAAACGCGCGTTGCACTCACGTATCGGTAGCCTTCCAAAATGCAGCGTTAGCGCATTCTCCCGAGCGGTGACCAACTGCGTTACCCGGCTCTGCTAGCAGTTGGCATGGTTTTGGAACTGTCTGGCAGGGCACGGTTCGATCTCATCTCTTTTCTTCAGAGTTTGAACTGTAAACCGGTGACCGATCTGGCGGCCGTTCCGAAGCTGTGGTCTTTGAAGCTAGAATTCCTTGTTTGTGAATCTCTGCCTTCCGATACAGGACAGCTGGCATCAAAAGTCTGATCAAATGACTGCGCTGATTATTCTCCCGTCCCTCAAGTCTACCTCTTGCCACTGCTGCGGGTGTGCGAGTCGCATCTGGCAGCCTTGCCTTTCAATCAGAACCCGTGCAAACTCAATTGCTCGGTCGGAACCTCTCGAGATTGGTTTGCGAGTCATCGAAGCTTGCGAGTGATCTAAGGGAGCACTCTGCCCCAAGCCACTCTGCCGAAATCAAAGGCGTCTTTGGGCTGTGCCCTCACTGCTGGAGCGGTCACTCTGTGTGGCACATCAATTCGCGCTGGCTGTTTCTGTGAGCATGCCAGGCGTCAGGCGACGGAGAGTGCCAGATTCTCCTGTGGGCATGGTGTGATGCCAGCATTTTTGTGATGAACCGGTCATTTCTGTTGCTATCGAGGATGTACTTCTGCCTCGAAACCCCGATAGAACCGCTTACTCCATCTCAGAATCGCCGCATGCCGATCCTTCACCTGAAAAAAAAACAGGTCTGAATCCCCACTAAGCCTGGGAACACCCCCCGATTAATAAACTGAGCTTGATTCATTTGGGGTTCCCATTAATCTGCTCGGTTTTGCGTGTCTTGGTAAAACAGGTTCAGTTGGCACTCGCCGTGCTTGCCCATCTCCATAGCGCCTACCCTTGGCGTGTCAGTGACAGCCAGAATCTGGCACCTCGGTTTGACAACTTTCTGGCTGACAGTAGCGCACGTGATTTCTTTGACTTGGGCTCTTGCTTAGTATTTGTTTATTCGCTGTGTTCTTGTACAGTGTAAAATCTGTAGCAATATTTAAGCTGTAAGGGGAATGCGTCAAATCCTGAGGCCTTTTCATACACTTATTGTCACAGTTTGAAAGGGTAGCAAGTCTTATACAAAGGAACACGTTTACGCCATGTGCGTCAATGACGAAATCATGTCACCGTGCCTGTTTTTGGTTCGCCACTCATTCAGCAGCTTGGTTGCCTAAAAAGCATTCTGCATAGCATCAGGTGGAGCTATTCACATGGATTACATTCCGTCAGGATCTACTCTGCGGAGGTGGGCCGTGGTTTTATGGACAAAGGAGCCGTGCGTTGAACTCTGACACATGATGCCTTTGCATGATACGCCATCCTGGGCTCCCACGCCCACTCCTTGCCTCATGTTCTGTTGAGCCAATGGTGGCTTTGTGTATGTTCTTTAAAGTCAGCGGGGCCATTTCGAATTTCCATCCGCTGGTTTTTGGGCAGCGTCCAAGCTGTCCGGCCGTCCTTTTCGGTGCCAGACAGGAGCTGCCATGGACCCTTCGCTTCCTCAAGAGCATTGTGGTGTCGCAAGTGTGTCTCCTAGTGGGCGAAACTTGAGACCTTTCGGCCAAAGCCAATGGACGCTTGAGGTCATGGAGCGCGGACGTCAAGCAGCAAATATTCTGGTGGAGCATTTGCAGCAAGCCCAACGGGCAGCTTGTACATATCCTCTTGAAGTGCGTGTGCACTCGGGCTCGAAATTATGACCTGATCAGAGCTAACGTAAAGAAGCATTTGTGATTGCCGGCCTGCTTTGCAGTTCTTTGTTTGTGGATGGCATTGTGTGTTACTGACTGGTTGCAGTGGTGCCGGCGCAGTGCACATGTCTTAAATGTGCAGCATATAGACACTGATTAATCTATGCTTTGTTGCCGCTGCCGTTCTGCTTAAGTTGCAAATTAAGTCTGTATGATTGCACAGAACGAGCAGAACTTGGTACCGTCATAGTCTCATCAAGTGCTTGTTGCCATCATGGAGTCAATGAAGAGGTCTCCTACTTTCCTAGTTGGGACGGTTCAGTCCTGCTGGCTTGACTTGCTACAGGCTGTTTGCGAAGCGCAAGATTTGAGCAGCTGCGACATTGCTTGGCACTTGCCAGGCAAAAAGATATTCTGGGGGAGTTCCAGAAGCGAGAGGAGCATTACACAGAGGAGTGCGCAATAGAGTTCAAGGAAGATTGGACAACAGAATGTGCTTGGGTTCGCACTCAAATGTTGTATAAATTTGAAGCATTTGTCAATTCTCAGTTTTATTGGTGGACTTTGATTGGCCTTGATCACGAAATTCATTTGCTAGAGACGCACGCGTCCTGTCGGAGAGTTTAGGGTGATGGGTTTGATGATAGCGAGCCGCCAACTGCAATTGGACGCTGGGGATATAAGTCCTTTCGGAGGCACTTATCATACCAGGAAAGTCATTGCGGCTTGTGATGTTGGAGATTTCAGACATTGGTGGTGATGGTGAAATGAATGGCTTTGGAGAAAGATGAGAGAGAGAGAGAGAGAGAGTATGTACTGCCTGCCAGAGAGCGGAGGTACTCCAAGAACAAGCCGCTGTGCTTCAGCGCAAGAGCTTACCAGCAACCACACCCTGCAAAAGTGCGAATGGGTTACAAGGACGGGAGCTAAAGGAAATCATAGACCATGTTTTTTTTTTTTTTTATTCTTAAATTTTTGTTTTGTGAGAAATGCAAGTTGCATGCATCTTCGCTTGAGGATGCTGATGCTACCCTGACCTCACCCATGCTTTTAGGTGTTTGCGATGGCGTGTCGCAGCTGGAGGCCAGAGAAGAGCCGTGAAGAGAAACGCACAAATGTGCATGGACCGCTTCAGGAGTTTCAGATGGATCCATCCCTGCTGCCCAACGAACTCCTCCGAACTTGCGAGGAGAGCTTTCAGTTTGAGAGAAGCGACGTTTTCTGGGACTCCCGCAAGCACGTTAAAGGGCTTTTCACTTCAGGCTCGGATGTGATTTTTCACATAGCACCTGTGCAGATACTGGAGGCACTGGAAAGCTTGCACTGCAGAGCCAGGAGCTGGCGATGCTGCAGCTGATGCCGGACACGCAAATTGCACCGCAAGACCAGTGCGCTGGGCTTCGATCCTTCGATCTGTGGGCAAAACAAGTCCTGCGAGGTACAGAGGTCCCATCTCTCTTCTCAAAGAAGCGCGTCTTGCCAGCAGTTGCGAGCGCCAAGAACACGGTTCTAGTCATGGATTTCAAGTTGTTTTTTCTTTTCAAGAGCAGCATATTGTTAGTGTTTCTCTTTGTCTTTAACTTTGAGACATTCAGAGCATAGTTTGCAAGGTATCAAGAGACGACAAGCTTTGGGTGGGAATCTTAGCGCCAGCTAAGCCTTCAGAAGGGCCCTCTGCTTGAAGCTTCAGGTCCACCACTGTCCTGCTGGCAGCTCTTGACAACAGCACCAGAATTCATGGGAAGGTGCCTTGTGTGTGTGTGTTTTTCTGGGTGTGATATTGTCAGGCAACCAAAAGCGGCCTCCCATATTTCAGGCAACCCTTAGGTGGTGGTTTGGATTGGTGGTTTGGGGTTTGAACCTGGGTCTTGTGGAGGGTGAATGGGAAACCACTTCCTAGCCTCCAAGCCACCAATCCAAGCCACCAACTGGAGGGAAGCCGAAGTAAGACATCACTTACGAAGGTTCTAATTAAGACGTCCATGACCATGTCCTAGCCAGTTGTTATGTGTGAACGTGAAAAACTACCTGCGCAAACAGTGCAAGCCCAGATAGATAGAGTTTGGCATCCCGCTACTTTTACCTGCAGTGTCGTTTGTGGCTCGCGCAGTTGCACCCCATGATAGCGGTTCTCTCCATTGGCGACTGTGAGTTGCTTATGCTGCTCCAAGCTCAGTTTCAATTGGACACTTCTAACTTCTAACAGACTGCGATGACTCAGGAGACGAACAAATGGCCGGCAATCGGAACTGGAAGTCGTTTGGCTGCAACTCATGCACTCGCTACTCGCTTGGCAAGCTTCCGAGTTGTTTCTCTAGGCCGTGTTCCACACAGAGATGCAGCGCATTGACTACAATGTCCAGACTCCGCTTCAGCTTGCTCGCGTCGACGAACGAATTGATGAGGATGGGTGAGGGATTGCCTTCAAACATGGTGACAATGTATAGCTGCTGTTGCTATTTTCAATTGTTCATTCAGGTTGCTTTGCGTACATGTGGGTTGTGTTCATTGTTTTAGGTGGTTGCGTGTTTATAGGGCAGACTCGCACACAGCACGCGCACACCGCGCACACGCACAGAGCACACACACGCGCACAAGCACAAACACATGAATACATGCAAGGAAGGAAGCAATATCAAGCATGGTTTCCCACGGAAACATTGGAACCCAAGCAAACAGGCACAGAAGCGTATTGACATACGCAGACTCACACAAGCACGCACAAGCACAAACGCACGCAAGCACTCACTCACCCACGGACGCAAACACTGACAAACAGACGCAGCCACTGACGCAGACACAGACACAGACAGGCGCACGCAGACGCGCACGCAGACACACACACACAGACACACACAGAGAGACACGCACACGCCCACGCCCACACGCACACGCCCCCCCCCCCCCCACACACACACACACACTCACACCCACACCCACACCCGCACCAACACGCACACGCGCACGGTCACGCGCACGCACACGCACGCGCGCACCCACACACACACACACACACGCACACGCACACGCACACGCACACGCACCCCCCCCCCCCCACACACACACACGCACACACACACAGACACACACACACACACACCACACACACACACCCCACACACACACACACACCAACCACACACACACACACACACCAACCACACACACACACACCAACCACACACACACACACACCAACCACACACACACACACACCAACCACACACACACACACACCAACCACACACACACACCAACCACACACACACACACACCAACCACGCACACACACACACACCAACCAACCAACCAACCAACCAACCAACCAACCAACCAACCAACCAACCAACCAACCAACCAACCACACACACACACACACACACACACACAC